TATAATTTGAAGTCCGACACACGGGGCTCATTAGAAGCCATACTTTCCCGAGTCAATCAAGACAAATGTCTGCACAAGCTCTTCCCTCTTCAGTTAAAGCGCACTGAGAGCAAGACGGAAATGAACAAGACCTCCATTAAAGCCTCAAATCAGCTCATACAGAATAACACACACTCAAAGACTTTCATATCAAGCTGAGTAAATTGCTCTTGAATGAAAAAAACAAAAAACATTTGATATTTTCAACAATGTAAAATAATTTGGGCCCCATTCTTATCTAGCCTGAAGTTTCCCAGAACTGAGACTTTTCCCAGAACTACTTCAGAGTTTCTAGAACTCACTCGGTTCTAGTTCATCATCTCGTGTCTCATTACGGAGCAGCTCTCTAATATTACGAGCTACAGAGATGGGAAGAGTACAAATTGTTGTCCCTTACTGATTACATATTACATGATGAAAACTGTAGTTAGTAACAATCTAGGTTACTCATTTTGGGTAATGTATTCTAACTAAATATAAAATATATTACTTTTTTTATATCAACATCATAAAATGCAACATCTGAATACTGGATTCTGATTGGCTGGCAGGAATGCATTAAGTCAGTTTAATACATAGTTTAATCACCGTTCTATATAAATGCGCTGCTTTAATTGATGCACACAGAGAGCGAGAGAGATTATTCATGAGCACAGAGACTTCTGGTCAGCGCTGCCCCATGACTTTTATTACTAAAATAGCCTAGGTATTGGATCGCTACATTATATTCCTCAGCAACGAGGAGGTCAACTCACTGTTTTTGAAGTAACTAAACTTACAGCGTCATTGTTTGTAGAGAGAGACGCACATACGCAGGCAATTCACACGTGCATTATCCCGTACATAAACATTAGTGAGTGACTAGTGAGTTGATAAAAAAGTTAATAATTAATTAAATCATAAACATGTAAAATTAAAATAATTGAAACTATGTAAAACTATAGAAATGTATAAATGTTTTATTTGTGACCATTAACCCACACCAGAGAACTGTAAACATACAAATATTTGAAATATGAACTTCCTCAGAGGTATTTCAAGTAAACAAATTATTTTAAGGGGTTTGGCTGACAAAAGCGTTTGGGAATTCCTGCATTACATTAATAAACATGAACACTGTGTAGGGATTTCTTACACAAACAGACCCTGATATCAGCATTCAAGTGATGGCATCACACGCCCAAAGTCTTCCTGGTTTGAAATATTTGTGTCCAGATTTCCAGAATCAGCAGTCACTGAAAGTTTATTTTATTTACACAACATTTGTGAATATAGTCAAAGCTAAATGGTATCACACACAGTAGGTGGTTAGAAAGGAAAATTTTATTTATTTAATATTTTAATAAATGATGAATGATTTACTGCCCTTGTGTGAATAATATGCAATCATGTAATCCATAAAAAAATACTGTAATCTGATTAAAATGTAATATAATCTAATTACAAGTACTTAATTTTTGGAATCTGATTACATAATCCAGATCGCATGTAATCAGTCACTACCCAGCACTGATACGTATTCTATATTTAAAATAATCATACACAATCTAATGAACAAACTTTTGTTTGAGGACCAAAAAAATAAAAAAGTCTAAAAGACTGATGGATTGGCCAAACTAATGTTTTTTACAAAATGTTGTATATGGCCGCTAAACATGAAATATAGACAAAGGACTGCGGAAGTTCAGCTTTAGATATGATGAGACAGCTTAAATATTATTGAGCAGCATGGACATTCTTCTAAACATCTTCTTTTGTGTTCCACTAGAAAAAAATAAAATAAATGTCATCCCTTTAAACTCCGGTTCCTTAAACACGGATTAAATGTTGTTCTCAGACGGGAAACTTCTCAACAAAAACAGCAGCAGTAAAGACGGTAAAGCCAGAAGTAGGTCTCAGTTTAGTGAACTCTGAGCGTTGGAAGATTGTTTTCTTAATTAAAGATGTATTGCGAGTCCCGCAGGACACAGTCAGGTGCGTGAGCTTGACCTGTTTTCATCTGAAGATGATTTTAATGTGTGCACATCTGTTTGCGCTGCATCTGCTGTTGAGCTTACGTTCTGTCATTTTTAATTTTGTCACTCGTCTGTAAGAGTTTGATTAAACCCTTGCGCTGTTTTATCCAGCTTGTGTCTCATGCGGAAAGACATAGTTCAGCCAAAAATGTTGCAACAACTTTTCACTCTCTATGTTGTTTCCATAAAATAAACAAAAACATCAGTCCATGCAACGACTGTCAAGCTCCAATAAAAAAACGAAAAACTAAAAAATAATAATACTCTGTTATTGAATCTCTGAAAGAGTGGGGCGTTTATGGAGATGTGTGGATCACACAGTGAGTTCATGAAGTTGTGTAATGAGTTACTCAATGCTGCGCTGGAGACGTTTGCGTGTGGACGAAAGCATGATTCCATAATGAAGAGAATTAACTTCAGAGAGCCGTGTCTGGACCGCTGACTTGGCTTTTTTTGGGGAAACTAAGAGAATTCAATTATCTGAGTTTTCTGAATCGTGACTGCAGAAATAATTATCTCTATGTTAATTAGACCTTTAGAGTCAACAGGAGAACAATGTTTAGACACGGATCCGGAAAAAGAGAGAAGGGTAACAGCTAAACGAATACAGTGAAGAAATACGAGGCCACAAAGGCAAGATCTGGTGAATCTCGCTGGTCTGCAGTGAATCTGGGTTTCCGTCGAGCCGGAGGAGCTCTGATCTCGCACACATTCATCTCAATGACAGCTGCTTGGCTGGAGACATCTGTGCTCATTACTGCTGGCAGACTCTTCTGAGCCAATCACACGAGCTCTGAACGTCATGTGACCAACGGCACTCTGAAACGCCTACCGTAGAATAATGAAATATAGGCTAACTATAGTGGAACAGCCTGATATATACACACTACTGCTTTTTCAAATATTTCAAATAAATGCTAGATTTCATATTCATCAAAGAATCCTAAAAACAACAACAATCACAACAACTTTGACAATAAGAAATATGAACAGAAATGGAAAAAAAAAAAAACACATTCATAAAATAAAATAAAAAAGAACTAAAATATGTATTAAAAAATACATTTTCATTTTCATTTAGTTTAAGCTGAAATACTAAAATAACAAAAACTACATAAAGTAAAATCAAAAACTAAAAGCTAATTAAAAAAATGTATACATCTTTAAAAACTTAAAACAATTATATTCGAAAAAAATTCGAAAAACTTCAAAATCTAATATTATTAACTACCGTATTGGCCCGAATATAAGACGACCCCCCTTTTCCAGATGTACCTTTTGGAAAAAAGCTTTTTAAAAACCAAATCTTGTTTTTTCTCAGCTAAATACATTTTGTCTTCAATTATTTTCATATTGCATATTTTTTTGTTTTGAAAGTATGGTAAAAACTGGTCAAATGTACCAACAATCACATTTAAAAAATATACACTTTTTGATATAGCATAAAAAAACAAAACAGGTAGCCCGTCTGAATCAGGACATTTAGGCTATCCATCTAATAGTAGCCTACCAACATCTTATTAACAGTAGAAGTTAAATCTTACTGTCGTCTTCAAATCTGGGTACCGTCCTACGTTTTAAAATCACAGAGAGTTTGGTCCATCAGGCTAACGTGACCGTCACGACTCGTGCAGCTGTAAGCTTTTCTTTCTCTTTTACTCGCGATCTTTACAACACGCATTACATTACGTATTTCATGGCACACTCGTTTTATGCGTATTTGGCGCCACCTATTGTTGTGGGTGTATTATTGATATGTCAAAGTCTAGACCCTGAATATAAGACGACCGCGTTTTTTCAGACGTATTTCCAAGAAAAAACACATCGTCTTATATTCGGGTCAGTACGGTAATTAAAAAATACTGAAATTTTAACTGGAATTATAATGAAAAGAGAAAATATTAAAATAATATCTACTTCAAAATATTAACAATAATTAGTATCTTAATGGTGATAAAATAATCCTGGACTGAAGTAATTGTTGCTGAAAAAACAAACAAACCCATAATTTCTCCATTTCTCCACAAAATGACAGCAGTGACAGTAACGCCGGTGGCCGTCTTTACGCTCACTCTCCAGTTTATGTGTTAAAGATGTCTGGGCTCACAACACAACATTCACACACACAGTAAACTGTCATCAGCTTCGTTCAGTAAACGGTTGAGATGAGCGTCGTGATGAACCTCGAAATCCTGCTCAAGCATTCCAGTCGCTTCAATGTACATTAATGAACCAAACATGTGATGGAAGCACTTATAAACCTAACGATTTAATGTTTAAAACACCATAAATATTATTATTGCAATTTTATAGATGTACTGTCAAATAATAATAATAATAATTAAATAATCGCATTGATACACTGCATAATTAAAATGTTTACCCAAATTGTACAGCTCTCAAACCTTCACTACAGAATATGATTTTAAAGCATGTTAAATGGACTGTCGAGAACAGCAGTGAGGAGAGGACCTGATAGAAGACAGTGAGTGGTGATGAGGGTCCTAGGCTTGATTAAAGATGAATGTGAGTGGATGTGGAGCAGATCTGTTCAGAAGACACACGTCCTGAAGAAGCGGATCTGCTGAGGAAATGAGTGCATGTGATCGTTCATCAGCGAGATCTCTGGAACATCTGCACGACGTCAAGACCCAACGCAAGAACCGACAGCACATTACAGAGACGAGAGTGACGAATCAGCGCTGATCAGCGGCTCTGTAGGAGTTTGAATGCTTCACGTCTTCAGAAACATCACACACACACACACACTCGCCCATCACAGATCAGAGCCTTCAGCCGGATTCATCTTCATCTTCATCTGTCTCTAATGTCATCACAACCAAACCAAACATCACTAACTCACCAACCACCAGCCTCAAACACTGCTTTATACGTGAGTGTGTGTGTGTGTGTGTGTGTGTGAGAGTATGTGTGTATTGATCTTACTTTGAGGTTGCAGGAACAAAAATCAGTGGAACATTTTCCCTCCAGAGACCTGCACAAAAACACAGACATTTTCATGAGAAACTACATACAACCAGTCAGGAAAAAAACAACAACATTATGTTAGTTTGTAAAATGCATGCAAGGGAGTATATTTTTATGTATGTATCTATCATTTACTGGCATTCAAATGTTTGAACTAATATATATGAGTAATAGTAATAGGTTTTTAGAACTATTTCTTTAATCACTGATATAGCACTCAGATACACTGTGTAATTGTTATGATATTTCATCTGTATCTTGTAGAAATAAAAAAGGGGCATAATGACAACTCATTTGAATTTCATTTGGCTGCAGTCGTATTGAAAAGCGACTCTGACATTTTAGGATAATTGTGCCGTAACACTGTTATTTTTCATTAGAAGTGTTGATTATATGCTTGGAGGAACACAAAATGTGACCGTCAAACCTCAAAACGTGTAAATTTAGGATTAATGGAGGCACGTTTCTGATTGGATAGAAGCGACACCGTGTGTGTGTGTGTGTGTGTGTGTGTCCTCTTAAAACTGATCCACATCATCAAACAACATCATCAAGATTACGGGTTTAAAGGGATAGTTCACCCAAAAATGAAAAATGTATGTTTATCTGCTTAGCCCAAGGGCATCCAAGATGTAGGGGACTTTGTTTCTTCAGTAGAACACAAACAGACTTTTAACTCAAACAGTTGCAGTCTGTCAGTCTTATAATGGCAGTCAATGGGCTCCACGGCTTTGAGAGTTAAAAAAACCATACACAGACAAAACCAAATTAAACCCTGCGGCTCGTGACGATACATTGAGGTCTTAAGACACGAAACGATCAGTCTGTGCAAGAAACTTAAGAAAATTTATATAATTTTTTATCTCTGATCCACCACAATGTCCAACTGTCCCACTGTCAAACTCCATAACCGTCCACTAGTGAAGAACTGTGTTTTATCAGATTGAAGCTGCGTCACAAACGCTGCTGTTCGACAAATGGCGGGTTTTATAAATTCAAAACAATGACGTCTAAATGCTGTTTCCCGCCTCTGCGGCGCTTGGTGAGCGGAGCCTCCGGCACGCAGTGTATCCGAAGAAGTCTGTTTTAGCTTAGCCATTTCGTTCACATTGTGGCGCAGAGGAATCTGCAGGCGAGTCATTTTGGGTAAACCGTGAATAAATCTGTGTCCATCATATTGCTGTTTACATGCTGCAAAACATTGAACAATTTCAAATTTTTCTGATAACATGAATGATGAAGTGATTACATTAAAAATAAATTAAGTAATGGGCGTTTGGTGTAGGATTCATCTGGTGTTGGTCTTTTGGATATTTAAAGTGAAAACTAAAATAAAACAGCAAGCAAGCAAAATAATAACTCCTCTGCTGTATTTGAAATGGAGTTAGTTTGTGTCTTTGCAACGGGATTCAGTGTTGCATCGCTTTCTGCATCAAATGAATGAATGAAACTGATATTGTTTTGACTGCCATTAAAAATGTAAAAAAAAAAAAAAAAAAAAAACTGATATTTAAATTAAAAATAATAAAAAAAAT